TTTTAATCATTGTCTTGGTGACTTATGTATACATTTATTACCACAATATATATTAATATTTGAAAGCAGTCCCTATTTCGTGGATTATGAAATTTGTAGACTCGTATAAATAAAAAACTACTTTAAAGAAGGTTTCAAAACATTCCTGTGACATATGTTGATTTCTAATAGTAGTAACAAAAATTTTAAATCACATTTTATTTCAGGTAAAGGTTTAGGACAATAAATCAAAGAAATGATATTCAGCATATATACCTAAAAATTAAAAAATGCACTTTGAAATTACAGATGCGCATTATACGGTATTATGTTACAAAATATGATATTATTGCAAATATGGTATTATGTTACAAAATGGAATTTTGCTGGCTCACTTGTTATTTTCATAAAAATAATAAGTGAGAAGTAAGTACAGTCAAAATTCGTTAATCCGGACTCGTCGGGACCTCAGCGATTCTGGATTATCGATTTTCCGCATTATAGATCATCAGTTTAAATCTGGTAAGATGGCATGCAGAAATTAAAAAATTAAAAATACGAAACTGTAATTTATGAAATAAAGAACACTTATGATCTAAAAAGTATCAAAATTTACAACAACAACAACAAAAAAAAAAAAGCTTAATATTTATTTGTTTACTTTATTAAACATTTCTTTCAATGCAAGTTGTTTAAGTTGCTTCGTTTTATGTGATAATACCGTCTCTTTAATTCTATAAACAGACATAATTTCTTGTTCAGTTACAAAGTTCCGCTGTTCAAGTTCTATAATTGATGTGTTAAGAATACGGACTAATTTGTCAATCGAAATTTTTTCATTTTCAATAACCTCTGTGTCGCTTTCTTCACTATCGGAAGCAAATTATAATGATGAGGAATTTGATTTAAATCATATCCAAGATGGAATACATCGAGATGAACTACTACATTTAGTAAGGAATTATAAGCCAAATAAAATTAAAACATCTGCCCTGAAGATAAGGATAGTGCTGACAGATCAACTTCCGATTCATTTCCCCCCCCCACACACACACACGCCGCAGAGCAGCGTGAAATTGATAAACATATTTCGAAATGGTTAGGTCATTTTTTGCAGCAATTCCACTTTTGTTTAATGGACTTCGAAACATACTTTCGCTTTGTAGATCCTTTACATATTAGTAAATATATATCGGAAATTTTATTTGACATAATCGAAAGGTCAAGCTTACTTTTATAAAATTGCTCTAACAGTCTGCAAAAAATAATAAGCCGGATCCAATTTGAAGATTAAGGAACAACGCAATCTGCAACATTAACTGAATTAGATAATTTTAGCTTAGCTTATACCGTCTGTTATACATTAAACGCACATGTAAATGTATTTTGCGCATACGCACACGCATATTCGCAGCCGTAAAGGTCTTACGCGTTGACGCATGCACAGGAAGTTTGTAGCTTTGAAGTCTGGATTATGGGTGTCCGAATTAACGACTTTTGACTGCATTAAAATTTTTGCTTATTTACTTATTTACTGTTATTCCATAACAATCTGCAAATTTTTCTTTAGTTTTCTGGACTTTGAAAGTGTTAATCAGTTTCATCTCAAAAATTCATTCATTCACGTCTGTAAAAGACTACTCCAGAACTAAGAAAGGTTTTAATCATTGTCTTGGTGACTTATGTATATATTTATAACCACAATTAGTTTTCTGGACTTTGAAAGTGTTAATCAGTTTCATTTCAAAAATTCATTCATTCACATATGTAAAAGACTACTCCAGAACTGAGGAAGATTTTAATCGTTGTCTTGGTGACTTGTGTATACATTTATTACCACAATATATGTTAATATTTGAAAGCAGTCCCTATTTCGCGGATTATGAAATTTATAGACTCGTATAAATAAAAAACTACTTTAATGAAGGTTTCAAAACATTCCTATGACATATGTTGATTTCTAATAGTAGTAACAAAATTAAAAATCACATTTTATTTCAGGTAAAGGTTTATGACAATAAATCAGAAAAATGATATTCAGTATCTAAAAATTTAAAAAATGCACTTTGAAATTACAGATGTGCATTATACGGTATTATGTTCAAAATATGGTATTATTACAAATATGGTATTATGTTACAAAATGGAATTTTGCTGGCTAAATTGTTATTTTCGTCATTCATTATAAATGATCAAAATAATAAGTGAGAAGTAAGTATTAAAATTGTTGCTTATTTACTTACTAGAAATGCTGACGGTCATACGAAATGATCGCTGTTCTAGATATTATAAATTGTAATTAAAATGATTTGTGCAAAGGTTTCTGCTAATTCAAACTGAATTACCTAGGGCAGGTGGCAATGATGCCCCTTTGCTTACTTGCCTAGAGGATTCCCCCTTCTACTTGCTTAATTGCTTAAAGTAGAGTGCAATGAAGGAAACCACTGGCAGTACATTTCTTAAGAGCCACAGCTAGCTCAATAAATAAAGGTGATTTAAACAATAAAATGTTAATTCACATGTGAAAGATCTCTTTGTACACAACATTTCTAGTGTAGATCTTTCCACCATTTTTAAGCTCGCCTTGCAGAGGACCATCAATTATTTTTAATTTTACGTCCGTTCTTTCACGAACTCTTGAACAGGCAACATATAGTTGGCCATGTCCAAATGCAGGCTCAGGTAAAAAAGTGCCAACACGCTTAAGCGTTTGGCCCTGGGACTTATTGATGGTCATAGGCAAGTTTTACAGGAAATTGTCTTCTATGTCTCAAATGAAACGGCAACCCTGTGCCGTAGCAACTTCACCCCATTTTGGCTAGTACAGTTATGCAAGCAACCAATAAACTATCATCGACAAACAGACGCTGAAGCCGCATATAATAAAGATATTTATTTATTTCATTTTATTTGTTTTTTCATCGTTGCCGGTTGCATATTTCTGAATTCTATTATATATCGATGTTAAATTTATTTATTAAACGTTAAATGCATGTGCTCTTGTGTTTTAATTTATCTGGCTTAGCTTTCTCATAATATTTGTCATGCGCTGCACTGCATGGGGAATAAAACAATTTACAGTTACGCAAGCAACCAATAAACTATTTGCAACCAACAGATGTTAAATTTATTTGTTAAATGTTAAATGCACATGCTCTTGTATTTTTAATTTTTCCGGCTTAGCTTTCTCATGATATTCGTCACGCGCAGCACTGCACGGGGAATAAAATAATTTACAGTTACGCAAGCAACCAATAAACTGTCGCCAACAAACACTTAAACCGCATATATATAAGATTTGCTGTTATTCCAGAACAGTCTGCAAATTTTTCTTTAGTTTCCCGGACTTTGAAAGTGTTAATCAGTTTCATTTCAAAAATTCATTCATTCACATGTGTAAAAAACTTCTCCGGAACTGAGGAAGGTTTTAATTATTGTCTTGGTGACTTATGTACTCATTTATTACCACAATATATGTTTATATTTAAAAGCAGTTCCTTATTTTGTGGATTATGAAATTTATAGACTCGTTTAAATAAAAAACTACTTTAAAGAAGGTTTTAAAACATTCCTATGACATATGTTGATTTCTAATAGTAGTAACAAAAATTAAAAATCACATTTTATTTCAAGTAAAGGTTTAGGACTATAAATCAGAAAAATGATTTGAAGTAATTTTCAATTTACCTCTGCAATGAAAGGTTCACAGGTACAAACACTAGAATTTCACTGTTGGTCATATGGGTATAGTCCTGTTGTGCTAACTGGGCAACTGCACTCCACTTTTGATAGAGAACATTTTGAGAATTTCCCATCCTTCTTCCCTATCATCAAACCACTTGAGTGGATAGTGCTCTAAATGCCTCTGTGCCATACACTAAACAAACTTACGCTACTTACACTAAGTGCCATGCACTAAGCAAGCTTACAAACATCCATACCTTCTCCAAGATTCGAATACAGGCGCATCGATATAACAGCCAACATCACTAATCACAAAACTGATTAGGGCGGCAACACTAAGCTAACAAGAGGAACCACCACTTTTATTTTCATTTTATTCTAAATTATCATTATTCTCTGTTTTCTAATCAAAATTCACAAATAATCACTCTTTCTGTCTGATATAATTCTAGTAAAATAAAAATGCCTAGCAAGGAAGCATAATTTAAAGTAAATAGGAAACTTGCAAGTCGCCATAGACTACACAGTGCTATATATGAATAGAATATCACAAACCCTAACTACCAAACAAAGAACAAATTTCAATTTTTTTTTCTTTTTTTTTCATAGTAGCTAGGAATATGTATTACATATTACATGTATTTATCTATCGCTGATACAGTACAAAGTCCGTAATCCGGACGTCCATTATCCAGATTTGATAACCTTTAGATCATAATTGCTCTTTATTTCATAAATTAAGGTTTGATATTTTTAATTGTATAATTTCTGCATGCCATCTTACCAGATTTAAATTGATGATCTATAATCCGGAAAAACTCCTAATCTGGAATCGCCGAAGTCCCGACAAGCCTGGATTACAGGCTTTGTATTGTATTATAGTTTCAGCTTATCAGAATATATGGACATATATGCCTTGTGTGGAAGGGATTAATCTGTAAGTCTATTAATAAGAAAGTATAATTACAGATTATATAATATTCCTGGTTAACAGACTCTTATTATTTTTATGTGATTTCTGAACCGAAAATCAGGCAGAATATTTAATGCCATAGTGTTCTTATTTTATGCAGAATAAATTTAATAATTCTTTATGGTTTGGGTCCAAAATACTCGTCATAAATGTGGTTAGTGTTTTTATAGTTAAATACCATAAATACATTTATAAATAAATGGAGTATTTTATTTGTGTGTTGGAGTATTTCTGCATTAACTTTAAGCTGTGTTACTTTGTCTTAAGTTCATATTTAATTTTTCATTCATCATTGAGATTTGCTCTAATATTCAGATATTAATTGTTTTATTGTATTTATGGTAGTCATTTTTTCAACTTTTAGATTAAACGAATGGTAGCTTCATACGTAGGAGAAAATACTGAATTTGAAAGACAGTACTTATCTGGAGAATTGGAAGTAGAGTTTGTGCCTCAAGTAAATGTTTTTATTTCTATAATATACATTTGGTGCTTATTAAATTGCAGCCAAACCTCTGAAATGTGATAGGTTTCTCTTGCAGTTTAATGTGACTGGAACAGCTGTAACTAAGGCCATCAGAACAGACATGTGCCTGTGTTTTAATGTTGCTGTGCAGATGCTAATGATTTAATATTCTTCCAAAGGCATGATTATGCATGCTTAAAGAATACATTAGGCAAAATAACAAATTAAAACAAAAAAATTTTTTAATTATAATTTTAGGTATTGAGGGAAGAACAGTTAATAATATTTAAATGGAAAATCTTGGTTTCAGCAAAGACAATCTTACAAAACAGCATAAATATTAATAATATTATCACCTATGGCTATTCTTCATTTTCACAGCTTCTTGGTGGGTTCGCAGTCCTCATTTGGGCTGTGAAGGCCACAGAATTTTCATATATAGACTGATGTACTAAATTAAGGGAAAAAAGTCATCAAAAATGAGGAAAGTGCTTGTACTCTGCCTTTATATAAATCATTTACAGCATTTAAGATTTTTATAATACTTCGAACATTACCTAATTTCAATTTCAAGTTCCCATTTTAGTGAAATGCAGAGGAATCCAGAGGAAATTTTGACTGCCTATGTATTCCTGTCTGTACCCATGAAGATTATATGCTATTCAGCAGCACATATTTCAAATTCCTAGTCTTATTGGCCTTGAGATGTTTTCAGTAGATACTAGAACTAAGAATTATTTGCAAAATTATATATTAATTATCATTTGGCCAAATAACTTGAAAACATGCCTTGAAATGCAAGCTTTTGAGGCTGAAGAAAAGACTGGTATTTTATGTTCCATCGTTGGTTGCAAGCACATATTATGATTTATCATCATGCATATCATATTTTATTATTTAATAGCAGATGCTTTGAAATGAGATTAAATAATGGGGAATCGGAAAGTAATCAAATAAATTCAAAAAGCGATTGCATGTTTCTGTGTTTATTTTGAGATGTTCCCTTAAAAAAAAAACTTTTTGTATGAATAAATGCGTTATTTTTAAAATTGTCCCTTCAGTTTGAGTTTAAACCTAATAAATTTATTTATTTATTTTTTTTTTTATTGTAATGTGAAAACTTAGATTGTAGTCTCTGAAAAAGAGTTCATCATCAAAAATTTAAAAAGATTAAAGAAATAGTTGAAAGATAAGCAAAATATAAAAATCATAAAGGTGAACGAATATATAAAATCAGTCTTATTGGAATTCAAGATTCAAAACATAAAACCACATAATTAAATCAAGCTGTTCGAAATAGGAGTGCCAAATGATAGAAGAAAACTACTGTAATATTATTCCATTATTAAATTACTGTTATTATCGTGAAAAATTGCACTTGTTTTTTTTTTTCTTTTTTTTTTCTTTTTTTTTCTTTTTTTAGAATTTTATACTAAAATCTATGTAATTTGGTTTATTTAGTTTTTTAAATATTTAATTTCTTTAAAATTTATTTCCTCTAAATGTTTTCTAAAAAATTTTATTTTATTTTATATTATTTATTTATTTATTTATTATTATTATTATTATGATATTATTATTTTTTTTTTTTTTTTTTTTTGACATCCTGACATGATAAAAGCCAGTCAGGTTGACTGTGTGAAAGTTTTCAGACAACAGATCATTTTTATTATTTAAAGAGAATTAATTGTTAATCATTCTATTGCTTCAAAGTTATCTGTAATATATCTCTAATTGAATATGGGCATTTATAATTATTGAAATAAATATTGTTTCTCTGTATTTGCTATTATTCTGATTTTTTTCCACAAAATTTTTAGGGCTCATTAGCTGAGAGGATTCGAGCAGGTGGTGCTGGCATTCCTGCTTTTTACACTCCTACTGCATATGGAACATTAGTTGAAGAAGGTGGAGCCCCTGTCAAATACAATAGTGATGGCTCAATAGCGTTAGCTAGTGAAGCCAAAGAGGTGAAGATATTCATTTCGTATCTACTAAAATTGAAAGAAAAAATAATTTTTTAACAAATATAGCGTGATTTAAAAAAAAAAAAAAAAAAAATATTCACTGTCATTCTTTTAATATGCACATGCTATAAGTTTAAAACATCTGTAGGTTTTTTTCCTCCCCTTTTAATTTAAAATTACAATTCTGATTTGATTGATGTTCTTTGAACCATATGTTAAAACTTAAAAATGAAATGTAATGATTTCAAGAAGAGAAAGTGTTAAGAAGCCATATAGAGGGAAGAATGCAGAAATTTGTGGCCGCTCCTTTTCGAGCTGTATAGCAGTATTTCTGATAAAAATAATAGTTTAGTAAAAGTGTAAAATATGCCACTTAATAGTTTTGGACATCCAGTAATCCTTTTTACTGATGTTACTCCAAGGAAATTTTGAAAAGTGGTTCTGCAGGTGCTTCACATCTGCAATTTTCAATTAATCTTTTGTTCAACATTTTGTGCCTATAAATTGTTTGCTTTGTATATTATTTAGAATATTTTCAAAATTTGATAAAAATGTTGATAAAAGAATAAACAGAAACATGAGATAGTTCTCCAGCTGTAGGAAAATTTCAGTATATAAAATGCAGCTTTCCCAGATGCTATGTAAATAATATTGTGAAAAGCATAACAAAAATTTTGACCAAATGCCAAGAAGCAAATTTTTGTTGAACAAAGTGAAAGTATGGATAATCCAATGACCTACATCTATTAACAAGCAGTTAGATGGCTTCTTTGAACAGTCCATTAACCATGTTTTCAGAAAAGGCAATTATTAAATGTGATAAAATTAATTAGTTGTGGAAAAGTTAAGTGATGACATCATTATTTAGAATGTGTTAAATCTGCTGGTAATAAAAGAATTAGTGAGTGATGAAGATTCAACCAAGATCACTTACTGTGAAACTGGTGAAGCACTAAACACAGGTGTGAAATTTGCTGAAAAACTAAGAAAAGTAATATCAGAGAATATTCATATTCTGCATTTAAAAAAATGTGTTGTATATGTGAAGCAAGTAGATATTTGAACTATATTTGGAATGACAGTGATGACTAAAACTGAATATAATTAAATTATAAATAGTTAGGAGGGGAAAGATAGTAAGTAAATACTCATAGGGTCAATGAGAAAATAAAACTATGACCTTGGGATGTACAAAAAAATTGTCATATTTAGGGTCATTCAGTTTAGCTGCATATTTCAAAAACATGTCCATTTCTGATCTTAAGTAAACTTAATTCATAATATGCTTTGATGAAGCTTTTAATAGAATGTCCAGAGAGCTCAAATAGACCTTTTTTGGACAATTTGAGGAATTAAGTGACCATAAGATACCTCAAATCAATTTTTTAGGAGCATGCTACTGCCTGCCCTTTGAGAAGATTTTTTGGAAGAACCTCAGAACTAGATAAAAAGAAATTGCTGCACATATCCTTGGATGGACCAAACGTAAATTTTAAATTCCTCAGAGATTTGAAAGAAAATTTAGCAAATAATAATGACTCGTATCATATATTAGTTATTGGGTCCTATGGTTTGCAAGTCTTTCACAGTGTCTAAAGAACTGGACATAGAGCTACTGACTGGAATCTAATTACATTATTTAAAGACATGCATAGAGTATTTAAAGATAATTCTGCTCAGTGAGCAGATTGTATTGTATAACTAATTGTACTACTTTTCTGCTAAAATTTTGTGAATATCATGTGAAAACATGCCTATTGCTGAGAGAGCTGTAGATATTTTTCCTCATGTGAAAAAATATATGAAATCATCCAAACTGCCAACTGAAAGACTGTAGGAAGCTGTTACAGGTAAGCTTCTCTTGACAAAAGTATCTTTTTTTTATTTTTGCTGTGGAAGCTTACATTTATTTCGAAAATCTTTTCAGAAAGCTGGTACTGCTTGCTCTTTTTTACATATAACTTTCCATAGTATGTTAATCAGCTTTTCTAACAATTTGTGAAGTGATATTTAGTACAAGAAGCAAAAACTCCTGAAAAATCGATAAATACAGATATTCTGGGTCTAACCAATAATTGTAAATGTTGCAGATATAGATATGGGTATTCTTGCTGGTGTGAGTTTAGCTAAAAATGGAGTTTCCAGTCTAAAGAAAAGAGAATTCAGAACTCATTGCGGAACCTTTTTTGGTTAAGCTTATATCAATAATAATTTAAGTAAGTAAGTTTAAAGTAGCCCATTCAAATATAGTTTGGTCAAATACATTTCTTCAATAGATCCTAAGCTCATTACGTCTAGTAAACTTTTATGTGATAAAAGTATTGCTGCATATTCTGTGTATGAAAGTTAATGGATGAGTTCTGCAACTGCTAATAAATCAAAAGTGAAGTTTAAGGAATTGTTATTCAGAAGTAAGAGTGTATTCTGTAATGCTACTTGATCTCTTTTTATAAAGACCTAATTAATGATTTTGATTTTGAAGAACTTTGGATTGTTGTAAAACTATATTTTATCACATGACAGTGCCACAATAAAAAGTGTTTTCTCGGTTAATAATGATATGTTGGTGGAAAATTTTCAGGGAAATTCTTTAACAGCAGTGCAAACTATTTATGATGCTCTAAAAATAAATGGAGGTGGGGTGAATGAACATAATTCCTAATATGTTACGATGTAGCAATTCTGCTTGTGATGTGTATCATCAAGTCGTCAAAGGCAAAAACTGTATCATAGTAAAGATAATAAAATATTATTGGACAAAAAGAAAGCAGAGGACACAAAGCACAGATTAAAATTTCAGAGTAAAAAAAAAAATTTTTTTTAATCAGATATTTTTCTTCAGTTGACTCACAAATAGTAGGAATTAAAACAATAAATCTGGTTTTGCACTGATTTTTTTCTTATTGTTTTATCTATTAACGTTTCATTTAAATATTCTAAATGTCATTCCTGCACCCCATTAGAAACATACTTTTCTTATCTATGTATCAGTGTGTTTTTTTTGGGGGGGGAGGGGAGTCATCAATTCTTATGAAACATTATATTTAATTTGTGTTATTTAATTCATATTAAAAGTTTTTCATCAAACGTTTGTTGAAAAAGAACTGCATTTTGACCATTTAAAATTTAAAAACTATAATGCTGTGTCATTCATGACATCATAATTTTTACACTAATGGTGGAAAAATCCAGTGTTTAAAAGTTTGTCTGTTGCATTAAAAAATCAATGAATTTCATTTCTGATTTCGTTTATTACTTAAATGGAATGTACAGTAGAACTCCAATTATCCGAATCAGTTGGGACTGGACACCATTTGGATAATCCAAAATTCAGATAATTGGATTTTTTTCAAAGAAAAGGTTTACGTACATTTTAATTAATTACTGTATGTTGAAAATGGGAGAAGAAAACTATTTTTTAAAGAAAAAGAGGTTTTTATTAATTAAAATAAAAAGGCAGAGCTTTTACGTGCATGTTATATAGCATACTGTACAGTACTTACAAGTGCTTAAAGTCATTGCTTGCTGAATATCTTGGTTAAATTAAGCGTAAAATTTCTTAGCCAGTCATTACTTGCTTTAAAGGATGAACAACTAAGTTTCTGAGCTAAGATCTTACCTTTTTCACAAAGAATCAAACCTGAAATTGGATTTCCCATAGAACGTTGCTGCAAAAGCCACTTGAAAACGACATCTTCTAAATATTTGTTTGATGCTGCCTTCATTGATTTTCTTGAAGAACTTCCATCTTCATTTTCAAGCAGTGACACAAAGTTTAAAAGTGTAGGTTTGCTCCTTTTAATGTCTGAAATTATCTATTTTTTAACACTGCATTTCCATCTTAATTTTTTTCTTAAATTCTGAAAGCAATTCAGATAGTTAAAGTTCAGATAATTGGAGTTGTGCTGCATTGTAAGTATATCATTTCTTTTGCAAATGTATCCCTTTGGACATTTTGTGCTGATGTTTTAGCATTTTACTTTCAGTGTCAGTGCCTGAAAATATTTCAGATACTCTAACAATAATTCCAGGTATTATGTACTCTTTTCATATAATTAAAAATGGAATTTATTTGGACTTTAACTAATTTTGTGATGCAGTAGATTTTTGAAGAGAATGGTGGTTTAGTATGCAAATAATGTGTAGCAAATTTTCTTAGTTTGGCAAAAAATTAATTTAAAAGTTATTGAGAACAGCTTCTATTATAGTTCTAATGTAATGCTCTGGGGATTCGAAGTAAGGGGGTTTTATCATTTTATTTATAAAAGTCATGTGTAATTGGCAAATTTTTGTATTATCATGTGGTACCATAATTAATTTACCCTCATCACAGTTGGTGCATACTCCATAGCTAGGCTAGAATTTTCTAAAACACACCCAGAAAAGCTGAAGAAGTCAGGGAATTTCATTCTTATGTTTGAGTGGCAACCCATTTTAATAAAGTAGAGGATAAAATTATGTAACTTATATATTCTTTGATTGCATATGATAAATTTGCCTAATAATGCCTTTGGAATAATTGAAAATAAATTTAACATTTGATTGAATTGTAAGCTCAAAAAGAATTTACTAAATTGTTGAAACCTGCCAAAAAATTGGAAATTATTTAAAAGTTATTTATTAAACAAAGGCTTAACTGTTATACCATGGCAGACTGGTTGAGCTTCAATGACAGACAACATTCAGTATTCTACGATGCCTTGGAGCACTTTGATGAATTATCATATACAAGGAACTGTTTCATAAAAGTGCTAGTACTTTTATGCAAGTAGGTAACTGCTGTTCAAAAAGACAGAAACCCTCATAATTGTGCTAAACATAAAAGTATATGCACCTTTATGCAGATCAGTTTCTAACTTGAAACTATCATAAGCAACTATCATAATGGTATGAGTATCTTCATACACGAGCACTGCTATGACGATAAAATTTTAGTTCTGATAAATAAAATAAATGAAAATTCTACTTGTGTCATAGTTTGAGCTATACCTAAGGTTTCCAGTGTCAGGGTCAGATGAAGATTTCATAGCCCCTCCTGTTTGTCAAGAATGTTGCAACCAGAAAACTATTTGATTTGTATTCATGATATTTATAATGACGAGGAATTTGATTTAAATCATATCAAAGACGGACACGAGATTAATACTACATTTAGTAGGAATTATACCAAATCAAATAAATAAGATATCCTGATAGATCAACTTCCCAGTTCACTGTGGCCGCGTCGCCCCCCCCCCCGCCCTCGCCCCGCAGAGCAGCGTGAAATTGATAAACGTATTTCGTCGGAATGATTAGAGAATCAAGGATATGCCTTTATATCCATTTTTTGCAGCAATTAAACTTTTTTATGATGGCCTCGATCATGCTTTCGCTTTGTAGATCCTTTTGTAGCTCCAGAAATCGAAATTATTTTGACATAATCGAAAGTTAACAGCTTGCTTTTATAAAATGCTCTAAAAGTCTTCCAAAAATAATAAGCCGGATCCAATTCGAAGATTAAGGAACAACGCAATCTGCAACATTAACTGAAATAGATAATTTTAGCTTAGCTTATACTGTCCGTTATACATTAAACGTGCATGCATAAACGTATTAGGTGCATGCGTAAAGGTATTATGCGTATGCATTAACGCATTATGCGTTGATGCATGCACAGAAAGTTTGTAGCTTTGAGGTTCAGATTAAAGACTTTTGACTGTGTGCGTAATTATGCTTTACGCATGCGCGCATTGAAAGAAATGTTTAATAAAGTAAACAAATAAATATTAAGCTTTTTTTTTTTTCCCTCGTAAATTCATACCCTTTAGATCATAATGCTCTATTTCATAAATTACGGTTCATATTTTTAATTTTATAATTTTCTGCATTCAATCTTACCAGATTTAAATTGATGATCTATAATCCGGAAAAAACCCTAATCCGGAATCTCCAAAGTCCCGACGAGTCCAGATTAAAGACTTTGTACTGTATAATTTTTTTGTATTTATATAATCATATTGACTCAATTATTTAATGTCTAATTTTCAGGTAAGAGAATTTAATGGACAATCTTACATCCTTGAAGAGGCAATAACAGGTGATTTTGCATTAGTTAAAGCATGGAAAGCTGATAAATTGGGAAATTTAATATTTAGGTATGAATTTTAAATGTAAATGTTGAGTATGGCCTTTTAAATAAATATTTTAAACTCTTTTAAGTATTATATTTTTATCGGTGACGTTTTTTATAGGAGATCAACACCAAATTTTAATGTTCCCATGTGCAAAGCTGGCAGAGTTACTATTGCTGAGGTATTATATTAAATAATTCATTTTGATAAATATCTATAACTAATATGAGCTTAAAATTTTTGGAAAAAGTAAGATTTTAAATATCTATTTAAACATGAAGACCTTCTAAATGAAATTTTAGTTAGCATAATGAAAGGTGAAATTATTATTAGTTATTTAATAATATTAAAGCTTTAAAAAATTCTAGCCAGATTACTAATATGAAGAATTAGTGCATTAAAATTATATATAAAAAAACAGCAATGAGTTGCAGCATTAAGGTAAAATGATGTCTCATAAAAATAAAATGGTAAAGGAGAATAAACTTCATTAATAGTCTGTTGATGATAGTTAATCTAATTACATATTTTCATTTTACCTAATTGAATCAAATACTATGTTTTTCAATTTTAAAACATTAATAAACTTCCATTTCATATATTGAATGGCAACATCAGCTTATAAGCAGTACTCGAGATAAATTTTTGATTTAAGGCCCAGCAATGCTACTAAAAAACTGAAAAGCTAATGTGAACGTATTTTTCATACTCACATCGCACAAATAGCTGTAGAAGGTGCTGTAGTCTATGTGAAATGAGTGGAATCCAAAAATATAGATCTTGTCATTTGTTTTTCTGCTTTTTCTACATTGTTTTGTTACTTATAATGAAATGTTTTAAAGCAGTAGCTATGCATAGTTTTTAATAATTACATGAAAAAAATTTAAGTGCATTTTTTTTTTTATCAGAGCAACAAAAGAATATCTTCTTCACTATTTTATTGTTGGAAATTCATCTGTATATATACATTTTTTCAGGCATGCCTAGAAATACTTTTAAGATGATGGCAAAAATTTGTGTGAAAAATGATGTTAATAAATATATACCAAATTCACTTAATATTGAAGAGCTAAAATTTTAAAAAAAAACTACCCCTGGCAATTTTTATGAAACTTGGCATTTTGGCATAATTTGAGGCGTAGGATCAAAATATGAAAAAAAAAAATTGGCAGTCATTTCAGAAAATGTCCGATTTTGTACCTGTACTAGAACAATGCTATATATATATAAATCTGATATATATAGTAAGTGGTGCGTTCAAGACATGAAAAACGCAAGGTGAATTTCATCAGTTGGACTAATAGAATGGGCGATACTGAACTATGCAGAGCATGCACTGCATGCAAGCAGCCAAAACAAGGGACGTCCGAATATAGTTCTATTAATCAAGCAAAATTTTTTATGAATTACTCAAAATAAAACATATAATAAGTCAAATAACTATGCTCAATTTTAAATAGTTATTGAAAAATCAAACTAAGTCCCGAATTTCCCGATAGCATAAAATAGTTTAAGAAAAATACAGTGTTAGTGCACAGTGTGTTGGTCCAATGTCCATTAATGTCTACTGTTTACACATATCCTTCATTTGACAGCAAAATTCATGGCAGAGCCAGCAATACCGCAATAGAAAAGTTTTTTTTTTTTTTTTTATTATTATTATTATTATTATTAGTGGCCCTGTGGATCGATGCGTAGCAAAGGCATCTTTACAAAAATATCTCATATGGTTAATATTACCTAAGACATAGGAGTGTTTGAATTCAATTTGCATTTGGGGGGGGGTTAAAAGTTTTCAATTTAATAATAGCCTTACAATTTACAAAAAAAAAAAAAATATGGAGAAAAGAAATGATTTTTGTGTCTTTGGTTTAGCAACACTTATAAACAAGGTTTGTTTTCCTTTTTAGTGTAAGCGTTATACCTCTATTAAAAGGTAGTTTCTTGTATTTTTATTTGGTATGAAATTATTTGAGAAAAAAATCTTGCAACTTCTTTTGATTAAATGATTTTCATTACAAAGCCTGTTTGAAAAACACTTCAATATTCACATAGCATTATTAATGTTTGACGAAGTTCTAAATTTTATTTTATGTTGTAGGTACTTAATGGTACTTTAGAACTATATTTTAAAAAAAATTACGTGTTTTATATGCATTTTTGTACAGCCCTAAATGTAACAAGAATAATCAAATAAGTGAATCAAGACGTTCACAACATAGCACTAAAAAACAGAAATAAAAGAAAACATATACAGTCAAAAGTCGTTAATTCAGACACCCATAATCCGGAATGATGTATAATCCGGACCTCAAGGCTACAAACTTTCTGCGCATGCGTCGCGTTGAGGCATGCGCATAGGCGTTTACGCGTGCACGTAAGACCTTTACGGCTGCGAAAATGCATGTGCGTGTGCACATAAAACGTTTACGCATGCGCATTTAATGTATAACGGATGGTTTAAGCTAAGCTAAAATTATCTAATTCAGTTATTTTTGCAGATTGCGTTGTTCCTTAATCTTCAAATTGGATCCGGCTTATTATTTTTTGCAGACTGTTAGAGCAATTTTATAAAAGTAAGCTTGAACTTTCGATTATGTCAAATAGAATTTCCGATATATATATACTAATATGTAAAGGATCTACAAAGCGGAAGTATGTTTCGAAATCCGAAATCTGTTTATCAATTTCGCGCTGCTCTGCGGATGGGGGGGGGGGAATGAATTGGAAGTTGATCTGTCAGCACTATCCTTATCTTCAGGGCAGATGTTTTTATTTTATTTGGCTTATAATTCCTTACTAAATGTAGTATTTCATCTCGATGTACTCCGTCTTTGATATGATTTAAATCAAGTTCCTCGTCATTATAATTCGCTTCCGATAGTGAGACAGAGGTTATTGAAAACGAAAAAATTTCGATTGACATATTAGTCGGTATTCTCAAAACAGCAATTATAGGACTTGAACAGCGGAACTTTGTAACTAAACAAGAAATTATGTCTGTTTAATAGAATTAAAGAGAAAGTTTTATCACATGAAACTAAGCAACTTAAACAACTTACGTTGAAAGAAATTTTTAATAAAGTAAACAAATATATATTAAGCTTTCTCTTTTTGTAAATTTTGATACCCTTTAGATCATAATTGTTCTTTTTTTCATAAATTACAGTTTCATATTTTTAATTTTGTAATTTCTGCATGCCATCTTACCAGATTTAAACTGATGATCTATAATCCGGAATCGCCGAAGTCCCGACGAGTCCGGATTAACAACTTTTGACTGTATTAAAAATTAATCATGATCTATATATATATCCACCCGCTTATATATAAACTCCATCTCCTAGTTGAAGAGAAATTTCATATCATCTAATCCACTTACTGTGTCACCTTATTTACTATTTTCTCTCTGTTAGTAGGATTTATCTATCTGATGGTTCTTCGTAACACCTCCTATATGAATCACGTTTGAGATTGAATTGATGAAGCCATGTTGATTATCCATGGCTCTAAAAAGTACGGATTACTATAATTTGAATACATCCAGTTCTGTGACTATATAACACTTTTTTTTTTTTAGTCTTTACCTTAGTTTTTTTTTTTTTTTTTTTTTTTTGTTAAATTTTTTACAATAGGCATTCAGACATTTTCAGTTATCGTAGTACATTGTGTTGTAATGAAAGTTTCCCACCACAGCAAGTATCATCTGCGTAAATATTTCGTGTTGGCATGTTTAATCATATTTTGCCAAACGATTTTTGGCATTTGAAAGAGACTTTCTTTAGGACACTGTGTTGTTAAATTGGTAAAAAAAATATTGTTATCATTAAATGAAACTATCACGTTACCAAATTAGAAACATCAATTTACTTCCAGTTCTCTTGCAAAAAGTTAGCTATAGAATGTCACCAAATGATGTGTACTAATGATACATACTAATGTTGTTACTGTGAAAGTTTCGTACCGGAAGTTCAAAAACAAGGACTATGACATCCAAGAAGCAGAGCACTTTGGCTGCCATACTAATGTTGATGAATCCCGCCTGTAAGAACTTGTGGAAGAAAATCAATATGCAACCACTCGAGAGCTTTGCTAAGGAGTTAAGACATTAGTACCACGTCCATTAGTCATGCTATACATCACATAAACTTGACGTACAACTTCAATCTTTGGATGCTGCATGAGCTGACACAAGCAGATAAGAACAGACGTGCTCAGGCCTGTACTAATCTGCTCAAATATCAACACAAGGATAAAATTCTAGTGTCACAAAGCACAATTTGACTAACAATAAGATTGTGCTTTGTACCTGGTAGGATTGCCATTGTGTTATACACAAAGAGTATCTGGAAAAAGGTAAAACCTTGACAGTAAGGTGTATAGCAAGACGGTAATCCATGTTGACACTGCTATCAAGGGAAAATGTCAAACTGAGTTTCGACACAAAAAGGTAATGTTTCATCAAGATAATGCAAGACAATATGTGTCTGCATTCACTGTTTGGACTCTGTACGGACTTAAATGGGATCTTTTACCACACCCATCATATATCCTGAACATTGCTCCTTCGGAATTCTACCTATTTTCACACCTGCAGCTACATCTTGCTGGTGCACAGGACAACCAGAATGAGGTTGATCTGTTTTTGGATTCATGGCCGCCAAGTTTCTGGCCCGAAAGCTTTGAAAAGCTGCCAAAATTTTGGCAAAAAATTATAGATTTGGTTGATGATTACTATTCACAGTAAAGGTACTGCTTTCATTTCCCCCCTAACTTTATTAAGAACGTTTTTTGGCAGAGAACTTTCATTACAACCAGATATAAAGATTAAAATATTGCGTGGAACATGTTAGCATTTCATTTTAAGTAGTATATAGTTACAGTAAAAAAAATATATATAGTAATATTATTTTGATATTTCTCCTAACAGTATCATATCCTCCTATTTTTACTCACCCGTCCCCCAAAAAATCTTTCATAATTTTTTTAATTTTGATAAGTGCAAAAATTCATGTTTAAAAAAACTGGAGCATGATTGCTCATACCTAGGTGGGGGGTAATAGTTATCATTTTCATGTGGAATGTTTTCTTCAACTTAAGTGACAAAAAGTAGCACAATTAATAATTCTGTAAAAGTAAATTCACAAAAGTGTTATTTTTAAATTTTTCAAAACACATAAGCAATTGTTAAAAATGTGTCAAAATTTTTAGGTAGAAGAAATTGTTGAAATTGGTGAAATACCTCCTGAGCAAATTCATGTTCCTAGCATTTATGTGCAAAGAGTATTACTAGGTAAAGCATTTGAAAAAAGGATTGAGGTAAGCTTAATATGCTTTTGTTAGTTTATTGTACTGTCTTTTAATAAGCTGGACACTAATTATTACCACATATTAAGTACCTGTATTTTTGTGTCTTGTTTATATTGAATATATTTTTGACAAGGTTTGAATTTAAAAATACCTGCATACTTTAATTTTTATATGTTATGTTAATTTTAAATGAAAGTAAAAAGCTTTGGAAATATTTACATTTCACATAAATTATTTAGAAATTAATTAGCATAATAAAAAGTATAACATTACTGTTAAACAAATAATACCCATATGTTCTGATCCAACTTCTATTAGTCCATGTATATCTGGTTCCCTCTTGATGCACGTATGAAAATCATGAAAGAATTTATATATGTCAGAACATACTATTTTTTTTTTAACCTACAGTAAGGTAGTATATATTATAGTACATTATATAGTGTGCATAATTAATTAAGCATAATAGCTTCATTGTGCATAATCAATATACATTACATATTACATAAACTACATTATATATTACATAAGCTACAGTATACATTACATTGTGCATAAACAATATACAATTAAGCTAGATTTGATTAGCTAAATCATATAAATGAAGCTTGAATATTTGACAATTGATAATTCAAAAGTGAGCCTCAGTAGTCATTTTTATTGTAGTCTATGTTGTCTTCTGTTATGAATAAAAGTATTATCTGACTAAAGGTCATAGTTATCTAAGTATATTAGTTTTGTAACTAAAAATATATATTAGCAGAATTAGAATAGTTTTATCTCTTTTGCCAGAATAATCTCTCTCCTTTCACAGAAAAATATTATGAATTTTTAACTGTTATTTTGATGTTCAGGATAATCAGTTTTGTTAAAAATGACCTGTTCTTATCCAAATGCAAAGAAAAAATGTACATTTTTTAGTAAAGTAATTAATTTAATATGTTACATTTTTTTTAAATATTTGTAATTTGTTACTTTGTAATAGAGATTAAAGTTCCATAAAAGTGGAAATACTCTTGCAAGGACACCAGCTGAGAAGAAAAGGGAGAAAATTATAAAAAGAGCGGCATTAGAATTAAAGGATGGAATGTATGGTATCCTTTTAATACAAGGAACTTGGATTTATTTATTTATTTCTAAATGCAGGTTGATTATAACCAAATACTTAAGGGTCTAATCTGTTCAGAGAATTTAGTAGTTTTAAATATTAATTGTCACCAAAATTTATCTGCGTTATTCAGAGAATATGAAAAAGAATTCTGCAGGAGGAGGAAAATTCTTGTTAACAGGCTCTTTATGGTACAATGCTGTACAAGAATCTGTTAATGAAACAAACCTTAAAAAAATTTTAATACTTATACCATTTACAAGTATTAGGAATGAAATCAGAGAAATAATTGTTACTTTGAGCTCACATTTTTCTGAGGGATATGTGGTCAGTGACTCATTTCATACCACCTGGACAGTGCCGATCCCAGACAATTGGTCGCACGCATCCAAATTAAAATTGGCCTGCCCCTTTTTATAGAAATATAGTTTGTTTGATAATCATTTCACCACCCTTAAATTTGACTGCCCACTTGCTGTGCACTGTCTTGCAATATTGAAGGGCAATACCATTGTATATGCAGAGAGCCTTGCATTTGTAATTAGCTATTGAATTGTTCCGTGCTTTCATCGTGTGCGAATTTAAGGTGGGAAATTCATTAAGCATATTATTTAACTATCTTGCTCTAACACTGGTGTTTCCTTTGTGTGAATCATGTGGTATGTTGAAATGTGTTTATTCAAATTAAATTGTATTTGTTTACTTGCAGTACTCAAAGTAATATTCTTTCTATTATTTCATTTGTAATGCATGTAAGTGATAAAGTAAACATTTCAGATGTTCATAAATTTAGGAAAAGCAGCAACCTTGTGTTTGGTATAGATTTAATTAAGATTCTTTAGATTTCAATAGTGAACAGATGCAGGTCCCTTTTCATCAGGAGCAAAGAAATCTGAAAGACACCTGTACATCAAAATCAATAGAGTCTTAATTAAAATGTGTGCCAAACACCAGCTTGTTGCTTTGCATAATTTTAGATTTTACATTGGCATGCTTCCCTTCTCTCTTAATTAAACATGTTTTTTTTTTTTTTTTTAGTTTTTCATAAAATATCTAAAGTTTCTTTGTAGTGTATCTTACTATTATAAAATACCACTAGTAAACCATTTAATTCCCCCCCTTTTTTTTTTAAATCTCTCTACATCTTTTCCTACATTTTATTTAATGTGTGTAAATTTTGGTCACTGACTGGTTAAACTCCAAAGTGTTCTGAACAAACCAACTATAGTTGTGATCTTCCTATTATCCTAAAATGATTATACGTACCTTAACTTGATTAAGTTAATCTTGGTATTGGTATTCCAGTTTTAGCAAGTAATTATATCCCGCCAGGTATAACAGTTCATCTTCATGGTGAAAATGGTGTTCTAGGATTGGTAAGTTGATTTTTCAAGACTGAAAATTTAGAAAATACGGTTTATAGTTAATATTAGTAGATAGATAAAAGTTACCATGAAATATTATTTTTAATTATTTAAGTAATGCTTTTCACAATAGCATTCCCTTTATCTTGTTAGCTTGCTCAATTATGAGCTTTGCTATTACTGATCAGTGATAATAAAGACTTGGCTCTTGTATCATATGAACAGAATGCAAAATTCTAATTGAACCTCACAAGCTAACAAAGCTGTGTAACATGCTGTTACTATAACTATATGATATCTGCTTAACTGTGCACACCAACTTTTTTATTGTTAAATTTTTGTTATTTAACCCCCAGAATTTATTTAGCATGTGCTATGCAGTTTTCGGATTTGTGTAATTTTAAATATAAGGCTTGTCGCAAAATCAGAACATATATTTATCAAAATGTATAATTTAGGGCCCATATCCATTGGAAAATGAACAAGATGCTGATTTGATAAATGCAGGGAAAGAAACTGTCACTGTTCTCCCTGGGGCATCATTTTTTCCAAGTGAAGAATCATTTGCAATGATCAGAGGGTGAGTAATATTCCTGACTGCCGAAATAGTTTGTTATATGTTTTGATTTTCATATTGACACTACTAACATAAACATTAATGGATTTTACAACACATGAAAAGGTAAACTAAGACAAAAAATTCATTTCCATTTTATTATTTAAATCTATTATGTCATGTGTGATGGATGTGTTTTCCATGCTAGAGCTTGAAATAGTTTTGCAGAATCCAGTGAGAGATGTAGACAAAAATAAAACAATTATCCTTTTTTAACTACCCTTTTTTTATTTCTTTTTTTAGTCCAAAGAGGCTTTGCTTGCCCCTGAAGGACTATTGTTTTCATTTTGCGATTTTGCATTGGTTCACTATAAATGTCCGTTTCACTTTTCAAACTGTTGCCATCAAATGTTAGAGTCTTGCATTATATTTGAAGAAATTAAATAATGAAAAATCTGCATAAATGGTATGTATATTTCTCACATTGTGATAAAACAACGGTACATATAGAACCATCAAATTTTGAATCGCATAATCCTACTGCGAATATTGGCATGTAGAAGCCCAAATTTGAAATTTAGAGTTTATTTTATTATCGATTTCATATTTTGTAAAACTTTAATGAATTTTTTATTAACAAACTCAAGGATTTCAAGGCGAGCAGAAAATACATTTTTATCTCCAGCGCGTGAGACTGCGTACTGGAAATTCTAAAGATATGCTTAATTTAAAACTATTTTTGCGATATTGCTCTTGAACTGAATTTTATGGTTTAAGTGCAGAGAACGTGATATTTAATAAATAAAGGTAACAGACAAAATGTAAAAAAACTCCCCCTTTGGACGTAATTTAAAATCTGAAACCTTTCAGTTTTTGTTTTTTTTCGGGGGGGGATATATTTTGATTATTGTGGATATAGTTATTTATATAGTTCATGATAGTAGGTATAGATAGTATGTGATCCATTTTGATATTTAATTTTAGTTTTAAATACATTAGAGAATTTACTCCTTTTTTTTTTCCCCTCAAAATCTTATTAGTTTTCATATGAGAGGAGACTTGGAGTGCTGTTAATTGGAAGTGTTGAATAATTTTTTTTTTTATTTGTTAGTAGTGTTCATGAGATAAGAGCAGGCTTTTAGTTTGATCATCCAAAGTATCATATATGACTGTAATGTACTCAAGTTTAGTCCTCACTCTAGATGCAGTGAACAACAATCATAGCTCACGGCACTACCTATTTGTAAACATTAATATCAGCATTAACAATTGTATTAGATGATTAACTGTTGTAGAAAGTGATGTGTTCCTCAACAGCAATTTGTTCTTGCTAGCAAATAATAGATGACTGTATTAGAAAAACAAAGAAACATAATAGATGACAATATCCCTTTAGGTGCATTAAAATTAAATTGCACATTATTATGCAAAAATTTGAATGTTAATTTGTCTGTGATATAACACACAGGCTTAATAACAGCAAACTTAGCGGGGCTTAATAAATATCACTTTAATTAAAGAAAATAGTTTATATAAAAATATGAATAGTTTTTATAAATTGTATAGGCAAAGATTATCAAAGTGGAATAGCAAATAACTGCTGCTATTTGTGTACAGAACTTGTGAAATAAGAGGGAATTGTTTTTAATTTATGGAACCTGCATGAGAGAACTGAAGAAAATATTCAGACTGAATAAAAGTTCTGCGAAAATTTTCTCTTTGTGTTAAAGAATGTATACAGAAGAGTTATTTGAAGAATTGGTAAAACAAATCATTTTTGAGAATGATTGAGGTTTATAAGGAAATGCGTTGAACTTTTAATTACTTATGCTGATTAATTTGTGGGTATCCATGGTTTATCAGAAAATATCAGCAATTCAAATTGGTCATGTAAACTGCAAAAAGTGAAATTTTCAGGGCTTTTAAAGATGTGCCATATATTTATTAGAAGTTCAAGCAACAGTAATCCACATTAAGTTTTAGAATTTGTAGTGGTAATTTTGAAGGTTTTAGTACAGAACTTAGATTCGAATTGGAATTTGGATCATTAACTAGAATTGAAAGACTTTTATGAATGTGAAATGGCTCTAGAAATTCTAGTTTGCCAACAGAAAATGCTTTCTGAGTAACTTTGGCTGCAGAAAAATGGAAAATATGATTTCTTGAGCAACAGAAGATTTCTGCGTTTCTTGACTGCAGAAAAATGGAAAATATAATTTCTTGAGCAACAGAAGATTTCTGTTTCCTTTTTTCTTGACGTATGCTTCATATGCCTTAGTGGAAAATTTTAAGGCTCTTTTAGTCTGACCAATCTGCATTAAACCACATTGGAATATTCTGTGTATCCCAGGAGTTTATATCCAGATTAGGATCTTTAAGTATGGAGGCTTTGAATTTTATTAATGGGAGAAAAAACAATGCGAGAGTTAAACTTCTGTAAAATGTGTCCACTTTTATAGGGAAAACAAGGGAGTGACACAGAATCCTTATAATCTTCTAAAATAAGACAATGCTTTTTTTGTGTGTGTGTTGAGATGAGAATTTTTTAACTGCTTATTCAATAATACCAGTTGGGAAACTTTTGTCAAAGGAATAGCTTTTAAGTAGTTTAGTTCGTGATCAATAGCTGACTTAGAGGAACAAACTTGAAGTATTTAGAAAACAAAGAATAAAAAGAAGCTAACTTCTTTTTATTAATTAAAACTTTAACTAATTAGATGACAGGATTCAAACTGTAGTGGAAGGCAAACAGATAAAAGTTTACAATATACAGTAGTACTAAAATTAGATGTATTTTGTGTAACCAAGATGTCAAGGAATGGAAGAGACTTGGATGTCTCAACTTCAAAAGTAAACTGGATAGCAGGTGGTGGAACCAAATGGGAAAAAACATAAAGTCTAGCGCAATTCGCAACTGATATCTAGAATAAAATATCTAGAATTTTCCAAGGAATTTCAAGAAGAAATAAATATAGGAAAATAAATAAAATTACGACACAAAAATTTAATTTTACAACTTTCATAGATTTTCAGTAACATTCACATTAATATAGTTACAATACAAAAAATTATATTTTACAACATTCATAGATTTTTCAGTAATATTTACATAAATTAATGAATAAAAAATATACAAAGGAATAATCTGAATAATAAGAAGCTATATAAATTATCATTAATTTTATAATATAAATTCAGAGAGATTATAAACTATATTAGAAGTTAACTATATTAGAATCTTGTTTTTTATGCATTCAAAAATGTGATCTGACGTATACCAGATTTTCCTCGCATATTTCCCCTCCCACTTTTTTTATTAATTTTGTCATCAAAAAATCAAGAGGGGAAAATTATGTGAATAATTTAATTTCTGAAAGACATGGTTAAAATAAGAACATAACAATTGAAAGGTGTCATTGATCAACTACAGGTAACTATCATAATATTATTTCTTTGAAAGAAACCTACATTTTAATAAGAACACATACTAACATTTACATTACAATATCTAATAAGATATCTTCATTTTTACTTCCCCATAACTTGAATCTCGTGTTTTGTTATTGTTGTCTCTATTCTTTGGACATCAAATAATCCATAAATAATTACAGAAAGTGAATGTACAGGCGAATCAGGGAAATTGTAGACTGATTGTTTGTTTGTGTTTGTTTCATGATGATGAGTCAGTTTTTGTATTAGGGTGGTATAAAGTTCAACAGGTTCAACAGGAAAGGTTTTATGTGATCTTTGCAGGTAGTTTGCAATGGTTTCTCTTTGTGAATAGGATAAAAATAGTCACTACATAGATAAATACATTTTTTTAATTTAGAGGAGCTCGTTCTCTTAATTGAAGAGGGAAAAAAAAATTGAGTACTGTTTAAATTTCCAGCACCTTGCACTAAAATGCCAGGGAAAGGAATACGGTTATCTAGCCAAAACTCTGTTGCCTCTTTTTTTTTTTTTTTTTTTTTTTTTTTTTTTTTGTGTGTGTGTGTGTGTGTGTGTGTTTATTTTCATTATTTTTAGCTTCAGAATTTTCAATAATTGTGATCCATCTTAATAAATAGGTGTCAGTGAGTTACTCTATAAACCTTCTATATGTTGCATATTATGTAAGTTGAAAGCTTTCAGTATTTTGTTGCTACACCTCTTTTTCCATAAATGTATGCGTTATCATTCTGAAATGTCTCTGTGGCACTGACCATTGAGCACTAACATTAATGTACTCAAACATTTGAGTCTAACAATGAGGACACTAATGTTTTAACTAATGTTGACCATGAACACTAATATTTGTGAAACCATTGAACACTATGTTTGAGTCTCGGCAAATTACTGGTTAAACTAGATTCTGATAGCACCCCCCATGTGTAATATGAATATAAGAGGGTTTCTCTCACAAAAGGCATAAAAGTATACTTCACTAAGATAAGTAACTGTTGCATATTGAAGTGGTGTAATAATCAACTAAACAACAGTAACATCTTTATTAGGATTTTCTTGCAGTTCCACAAAGATCTCTGAACTAATTTATGTTGCATAAAAATTTATAATAGTTTTTTTCCCTTAAAAAATTTTTAAAACCCCAGTAATGAAAACAATGCTTAACTCCTACTTTTGTAATTGCTCATTAGAGAGATTTGAATCTTGACAGTGTGAATGAAAATTACCAAGTCCGTTTGGATTAAGCATTTTTCATTAAAAAAATAGAAAAGACTTATAGGACTTGTATTAGACTTGTAGGAAAAAAGACTAATATGCATATATATTAGCATCATAATAGTTTTTTCTGAATAATTTTTTATCAGTTTAATGTGTAAATTATCGTTCAAATATTTGAAATTCTTCATTTAGAGCATGTTAATCCTAAATTGTTTTTGTTTTAGTAATTGGCAGTCATTTCTTTGTAGCAAGTACATGTATATAAAACTTCATTCTAGCAGGTAAACATGATAGCCCCTTAGATATCATTGCATTGATCCTTATGTAGCATTCTTTGTTATATTTTTAATTTTGCTCCAAAAATGTCATTATTTGCTGTGATCTTAATGTTGGAAGCTTCAGTGTCATGAAGTCTCTAAATTTGAATTCCATTTTATTTTCTTAATCTAGTAATGATGTAATGACATCTTGCAATTTCAAACTAACGGACTTCAATAGAATTGAAGTTTTCACTCGCACACTTGCACATTGAAAAAAAAAAAAAAAAATTTCCCCTTAAATTTTTGTCTCAATTCTTAAAAATAGTTTTAAAAAAAATGTTAGGAATTTTTTTAAATTACTTAAGAAGAACAAAGGAGAACATAGGAATAATATTTATTTATTCAGATATTGGTTGCATTTTGGAAATTCTTAATGTTTTGGATGTCATAATTATGTCATAAGAACTACTAAAAAAAGTGAAAAAAATGAAAGAATAACAGTAAACTAGTAAAAAGTCTGCATATTCCAATGATTTATTGTTGTTCCTTCACTTTTTTCATTGCACTCTTTTTAGTGGTTTTTATTGAATTTTTTAACATTGGAATATCTTATAATCTTCACTGTTCTGTTCTTCCTACAGCTATTTTTTCTTCTCTTAAGATCTGAATGTCTTTAAACACAAGTAATGTTTTCAATGAATATATATGAGTGCTGTCACTCTTTCATTTGCAGAAAATCCTTGCTTTATTATAGCAGGAATCAGCTTCCTTCCCCAGATGCATGAAATAAATAGCATTAAGCTTTCAACTTTTCTTAGTTTTTGCTTTGAAATTCACTGCATCAGAACTCACAAGTTTCTTCCAAAAGCTCACAAATATTTCATTTTCATGTGCAAAAACTCCCTCTTGCTAACTCAAGACAAGACAATCTGCTTGGCAGATAACCTATCTCTGGATGATTGAGAATTCAATGTCTGTGACTAAGCATACAAAAATTAATGGATTTGATGAAATGCATAGTAATAGTCAGCATTCAGTTTACTCTGCTGTATATTATAAATGCAACAAATTAGTGTTTTAAATGTAGTATGACACAGAAACATTTATTATAACGTATGTTAATGTCTTCAACTTTCTGTACTTCCTACAAATTTGATTTTAGGTGTTTTGTATTAATGGATTTGATGAAATATAGAAATATTCAGCTTTTGGTTTACTCTGCTATGTATTATAAATGCAACAAATTACTGTTTTAAATGTAGTATGACACAGAAACATTTGTTATTATGTATGTTAATAATGTAAACATAGGAAGAACTTTCTGTACTTCCTGTATTGATTTTAGATATTTTATATGAATGCAGTGAAAACAAAAAAAATTGTCTTGTCTTGGAGCTTTCATAAATTTGATGATGTGCATTATCACTAAGTTTGATTTAAAATAAATCAGACTGTGTTTATTATTTGGTTATTGTTATGACCGATTGTTACATATGTCATTGATTAAATTCCTCATATTCTTCATGTCTTTCTCTAGAAATAAGTCAAATTATTTTTATTCTACTTCATAATGCATTTGACTTACTTATTTACTAGGGTACATACATATATAGTTGATTTCATAAAAATTTAATTATAAGTTTATATTTAAAAAAGGAGGCAACCAATTGTTTTAGTGATCTTGGTTTTGGTATTATTATAGGTTCAATTTTGAATAAATTGCTTAAAAGGAAAGGTAGAGAGTAACCGGGTTTTTTTTTTCCCCCCTCACTTTTTTTTTTCTGACACATTGTTTGTAAGGAGAGGGTGAAATTGTATTTCTGCAGGAATGCTAAAACTAATTAAATAATGAATCTGAAATTATATTAAATGAAATACTTATGTGATAAATTGTAAATGGCAAGAAAGTAATGTAAGTATAATTTTGATTATTTCTTTATATTCGTAGGGGTCATATTCAGTTGACTATGCTAGGTGGTATGGAAGTATCAAGATATGGAGATTTATCTAATTGGATGATACCTGTAAGCATAATATTTTAATATGTATTTATTAGGCATTAATTTTTTTCCAGTCATACCTCTAAATATTATGACCCTTTCTGTTATATGCAGTAAAAATAATATCATATGAGCATATGTGAACAACGTGTTAAATTATATCATTGTTGTTAATGTTTATTTAACCATTAAAAAGTTTGAAAATTACATTACATTTAAAATATCAGTTTCAAACTACTTTTCTTATTTATTTACTTATTTTACTCTAGCAGAATATTTATCTTACTGTTACACTAAATATGTCAAGCAGGTGTTTTTTTTTTTTTTTTTCTCTTCTTAGCATATCTGTTCATAGATAAACAGAAAGCTAAAACAGAATTTGTATTTTTCTCAGTTTGTAATAGGGGGAAAAAAAAAATCTGGGATAGAGATCAATGATTAAATGCCTACTGAATTTTTATTGAAAATTCAATTTCTGATGAGAATCTGGGTTGTAAAATATGTGTGTATTCAGAATTTCCTGATAATAAAAAATTATATTCACAGCTTTAAAATTTAATCATTAAAAGTAGCTAGTCTTTCAAAATTAGCATATAGTTCCCAAAATTTATTAAACATTTTTCATGCTGATTATATTAAACTTTGAAGTTAAAGTTTTTGCAAGAACTGTTATAGAGAATCTGCACAATAAACTACAATAGTTGACTTTTTGAAATAAGCCAAATTGCATGTGTGTGTATTTATGTGCATACATATTTTATATTTTTCAGTTTTACCTATTTTCTAACTATTTTTCAGTTTTATAACTTTCAGATCTTCTTATTTTAATTCTAACTCAATACTTCCTCTTTTTTTAATTATTTCAAACTATTTTTACATGTGTTATAGTGCTTGATATTACTTTTTGAAAGCTGTTGTAAGGGATTTAATTTAAATGTAAGTTTAAAACTATTTTTTCTGATAACTGCAAAGTACTGCAACTCAGTTAATTTCAAATAAATCTATGGCATATAACATTAACCAATAACAGAGATTGAGTTATTAAATTCAAATTTCTATTTAGCACCTACAGTGAATGGTGATGATGATGGATATAATAAAAATAAACAACTTAATGCATTTCAATACCCTGTTGTCATTCTAACTACAGAGAAAAGATTCTTAGGCTATAGTTCAACCCCATATTACATTACTTTCTCTGAGGAAAAAAGTACTATCTATGAATTCATCTTTCTGTCAGGCTTATATCATATATGTCAGGCTGGTATCTCTCTCAGTGGTCACACTGAGACCTGCATGTGTTCCATGGAGGAACGACCGGTGGGAGATATTGAGACGAGATCTTTGATCAATATGTTAACCCATATGCCGCTGCTATTGGTCCTGGATTTCTTCTGATGGACGACAATGCGCGACCGCACCAAGTTTGGGTTGCTGAAGAATATCTTGAGGGTAATTGTATGAAACAGATGGAATGGTCAGCTCTGTCCTCAGACCTGAATCTGATAGAGCATCTATGGGACTACCTTGTTGCTTTAGGTCCTCCTCCAAGGTCATTAGATGAGCTAGAACTTGGATTACTCCATGTCTGGTCGTTGCTTCCCATTTCACTGACCGACAATTTAAGGAATATTGCTGCCGCCAGTGTATTGTAGCAAGGGATGGGCACATTCCTTTGTAGCGATCTCAAGAACATCTCAATGTTCGCTTAATTTGAAAGAGTTGGAATTCTTGAAACTAGCGCAACGGAGCTCTTTTAGGCTAGAGGTAAAGAATTCTACTCATAAATAACCAACCCAGTTCGAGCTCGCTCATGTGATGCTGCACTTCTCACTAGTGTTAATAGATGGCGACACGAGCTAGCAACTACCAACGCTTCACCGAAACACGTGTTCACTACACCTGATTAGAACTCATTTTTGTAATGTTACCACCCCAGTTTTTTTTTTTTTTTCCTTTTCTTTTCAAAAAACTGTGACATACTGTTTTTACAAGACTAGATTTCTCTGCCAAGAGTTAAATTTTTTGTTGTAATTCATGTTTATGTTGAACTTTAGAAATATTCTATGTCGCATTCATTAAAGAACTGTTTAGTGAACATATTCTGTAAACTTCTTGTTTCTATGTTGCTTCATTCTCAAATTAGCCACAAAAAACATGCTGTTCCTTAACTTTTGGAGGGCAGTGTATTTGAATGTTTTACAGACTTACATCAGCAAATTCAGAAGAAGTGGTCACAGCAAAAAATTGACTTGGGAATGCAAAGCCTCATATTGGAAAATTCTGAAAAATCTTATACATTACTAAGTCCAAGATCCAAACTCATTGGGATTTCATCAATTCCAGATTTGGGATTTTTCTGGAATATTAGATCGTTGGTTTAAATCTAGTAGGATGGCATGTGGAAATTATAAAATTAAAATATGAAATAATGAAATATTTATGACCTTAAGCGAATCAAAATTTACAAAATAATAAAGGCCCAGTATTTATTTGTTTCTTTATTAAACATTTCTTTCAATGTATGTTGTTTAATTTACATCGTTTTTTTATGTTTCTTGTAAATTCCATAGACAGTTTAATATACATTGTTTTTTATATTTCTTGTTAATTCCATAGACAGACATAATTTCTTATTCATTTGCTACGTTCTATTGTTCAAGTCCTGTAATTGCGATATTGAGAATTCCCACTAAATTGTCAATCAGAATTTTTTCATTCTCAACAATCTCTCTGTCACTTTCTTCACCATCGGTAGTGGTATTTTCTGGATTTAGAACCATACCACAGTTTTTGCCGTCCATTAGTTGATTGATGACTGTGGCATTGTCATCACTATAAAAAACTTCCATTACATCGTCTTCATTAATTACCATTTCTCCACATTTCTTCATAAATCCCAGTAATTGGAAAATTTCGCTTTTTATTTGTCATACATAAAGGCCTTCAAATTCTTTGCTATCATTATAAATCTTAGCTGGTGTCCGCAATATACTGTTGATGATGTACCATAAGATTGGTGACTGAATACATCTTGCTATGCTAAATTTTGTGTTGCTTATATCCTATGCTGATGATGTTAAGCCTAAATTATATTAGTTTAGTTATTTATTATATTTATGACTATTTCCCGCACATGCTTAAGACTTATCTGAGTCTCAAGTAAATAAATTCCCATGTATACTATTTATTTGCATTCTGGTGCAGCCTTGTGCAAGTCCAAAATTCTGCTGCCAAGCATCTCCCTCAATTCTAAAAATTTTGCCTCCCTGTGGTTTCCCTAAATTCTAAAGATTTTGCAACCCCTTAATTTTGTTACTGTGTGCTCTGAACTCCATAAAAATTTCGCCTCCCCTAAATTCTCCTGCCTTGGGAGGCCGCATTAGCCTCTAGCACCAGCTCTGGGCTTATCTGAATAATAAATCAGTTATTCTCAATTCAAACAGCACTAAATGTAATCTTTTGGCCTATGAGTACCACTTACAATCTATTTTTTGCATATGTAAAGAAATTTCTGTTGTCAACACACTCAAAACTTTGCAGTAGAGTTAGCTGAAATCTGTAATTATCACCAAGGATAATGTGAATATTAAAGGTTACCATGCTCTTTGGTGTTCAATAACCAATATTAAGAGTTGTTTAGACATCACTGCATGAGTTATTTCTCAAGCAGCAGTGTGTTGATAGCCATGTAGTGATGAAACCGGAAAATAATAATGATTTACCAACTTAGCAGTGCTGAAGTGAAATTAAAATTCCGGACTCTCAACATGTTTTATTATGAAGAAATATCAATAAAGCATTTAAAAAAAAAAAAAAAAAAAGAGAGAGAATCTGGGCCTAGTGATCTGAAGGTCCAGACTTTAGATCACTCCAGATATTGGATGTCTGGATTTTGTATAATATTTTGTACAGTAGTACAGAAGAGTATTTTGAAAAGAAACAGCGTTGTCTCATTACTTTTTGATCAACTCCTATAATTTAAGAGAGATTTATTATTGATCATGATTTTACACATTATTATGCTATTATTTTGATATTTTCCCATGTGTTTTTATGTTTAACTGTAATACTTACAGTATTCATAGTACATTTTATACCAAAAAATTAATCTCATCATATTGACATTGGTTCTGATAGTTTGGTTTTAAGACACTTGCTATTAATGCTTTTATAAAAAATGTAAATGTACTTTCCATGAAGCATTTTGTACAATATTCATAGTACATATTATACCAAGAAATTAATCTCATAATATTGATACTGGTTCTGATAGTTTGATTTTAAGACAATTGCTATTAATGTTTTTATAAAATGTAAATATATTTCTGTAACCTTTCTTGTGTAAAGCAGTTTTAAAAATCGTGATAAAGAAATATCAAAATTATGAAAGTTGATTTGTAATGTTTTCTTTGTACAACTTGAAAGATCTTGGCTTGCTTATGATTAATAGGACTGTCTTTAATTTGTAGCTATTTTTTCTCTTTTGTCCAGATCACCGTCCTGTTTCATGTATGTGCACATGTTTATATGAACTCTTTTATTAATATTATGAAAAAGGAAAAATATAGTTATAATATGTTTAATTTGAGAAAGTTCACTTATTTGATTTTCATGTGTGAGAATATTATACAATAATTTGTTTGTAATTTGAAAATAAATATATGTATGACTTCTCAGAATATGAGGATTTTTCTTAGAGAACTATATGTGCATACATATTATTGCAAATTTTAAGAAAACCCTCTAAATTAAGATGTTATGAAGTAGTGTAGAGTTTTACCGATATAAAGGCAATTTCAGCTTTCAGATTAGTTTTGTTGCCTCCCCTATTAAGTATTTTGTTGCAAAATATGTGTATATAAATTTTTACTTAGTTAAAGAACTATTATATTTTACAGGGCCAACTAGTCAAAGGTATGGGAGGAGCAATGGATCTTGTTGCTAGTAGATACATGGGAACAAAAGTAGTTGTGACTATGGAACACACTGCAAAAGGAAATGCACCTAAAATTGTAGAATCTTGTTCCTTGCCTATAACAGGGAAAAAGTGTGTAGATATGATTATAACAGAAAAGGTAAATTTTTAGGAATGATTTTAGAATATGTTCTTATTAAAATTGACATTTCTTAAGATACTAACTAAAATGATATAACAAGTTTTAAAAATAAACATATTTTAACTAGTTTAGATTAGTCATCTTTAAAAAAAAATATTTTATACATGCCAGACTCATTCTAGATTGTGGATTAGCCATATGGTAAATTTAGGGTTTCGAAGTTTACAGAAATGTATAAAACTTTAAGAAGAGGTTTAGCCAGATTTTTATTTTTTTGTAGATAATTCCGTAATATTTTTAAAAAATGTGAATTTTCTAACTTGAAATTTTTATTTAAACATTTCTTAGTTTTAAGATTTTTTTTTTTTTTTTGATAATGCAATCTTTTTAGAATATAGCCTGTTGTGTATCCTTAGTAGGCAATCATTTAACAAGACATTGTGTTAAGCTACATGCTACTTTATTATATACAAAAGATATCCTCACTTACACACATATCCTACAACTACCTGCATTCCAGTCTTAGTTCTGGTTTACAAGTATTTCGCATGCTTGCGATGCTTGGCGCACTGCGCCAGCTTTAAATCTGATTATGATTAAACTTTCGATATATCACATCCCTCCCCCTTTATCATAACTGCAGTCCATCTGGGGAAGTCGAACTCTACTGGACCAATGCAAAGGTTGCGGCACAGCAGGTTTCTTTGGTAACCTGATTATTTCAGCAGCAGGTCCAATGGATGGAACATCTGATACAACCTTGGGTTGGGAAGACGACGCAGACTCATTTACCTAGTGGCTATTAACTTTGGATGGTTCTGGAACTCCACTCTTATCAGGCTCTTTGGAAATCACGGGAGCTGGAGGTGGAAGTATGAACCTCTCATCTGTTATAGTTCCTCCATCATGCATCTGATTAATATGTCATCGCCATAGCTGACCATCTACATTTATGGTGTAATGAAGTTGCCCATCCTTGGATTGGACGGTTTCAAATCTTCATCGTCTGTCACCTTGACGATAATTTCTTACTGCCACTTTATCACCAACTCTAAATCCTTGGTCTGAAAATCTGCAGGTTCCTTTTTGAACTCTCTCTTCCGCCCTTCTTTTGAGATCTGGTCTCAATAAATCTATTCTTGTTCGAATTTCCCTCTTCAGCATTAGCATTGCAGGGCTCTGTAGAGAGTTAAATTCGATGCTTTCCTAGATTGCATCAAAAATGTACTCAGTTTTTGTTTCAAAGTTCCCGGATAACTTTGCATGGTTCTTAAGATTGTTTTACTGCAAACACATACCGTTTAGCCTCTCCATTACTAAATGGTTTAAATGGTGCTGTAGTTTGTGTTTGATTCAATTACTCTGTAGAAATATCTTAAACTTGGTCCTGCATAACTGATATTAATATGTTCCATTGGAGAGCTTGGGTACTCCCAATGATGAACTTTTACCTTAGGATCTATTTTATGTTTTGCACATTCAGCAGTTTTTAACAGTATGTTCGATATCTTTAACAATACCATTCTAAAACACGTAAGATCTAGCAATTGCTTTCATCTTTACAGTCCCTAAGTGTCCGTGGTACAACTCTTTCAAGACATCCTCACGGTATTGTTTTGGAATACAGACATGTTGACCATACATTATACAGTCATCTTGGAGACAATACTCCATCTCCTTTTCTTTTAATTCACCGCCGCTTTGAAGTATTCATAGGAGAGGACTGAGTTCTGCATCAGTTTCAGTTTCTTTAGCCAAATCATTGGCACAGAATATAGCCTGTTGTGTATCCTTAGTAGGCAATCATTTAACAAGACATTGTATTAAGCTACATGCTACTTTATTATATACAAAAGATATCCTCACTTACACACATATCCTACACACACATCACTTACACACACATAGCCAATGAATTGGCCAAATCATTGGCAAAAAAGTTTCAATCTGTTGTAATTGAAAAAATAGTTACATCATCCTGAATAAACAGCTGCTCTGAGTTCGTTGATAATCGTGATAGAAGGTCAGTACAGCACAAAGTCTGTAATCCGGAGCTCAAAGCTACAAACTTTATGTGTTTAATGTATAATGGATGGTATAAGCTAGGCTAAAAAAAGGCATTTCAGTTAATGTTGCAGATTGTGCTGTTCCTTAATCTTCTGATTGGATCCGGCTTATTATTTTTGCAGACTGTTAGAACAATTTTATAAAAATTAAGCTTAAACTTTCGATTATATCAAAAAGAGTTTCCAATTCTGGAGCTGCCAAAGGATCTACAAAGTGAAAGCATGTTTCGATGTGCATTGAACAAAAAGTGGAATTGCTGCAAAAAAATGGGTAAAGGCCTATCCATCTCAAAATTATATGAGAAATATGGCATTGGAAAGTCCACTATATATGACACAAGAAAAAGGAACATTTTAAATTTTTTGTGAAAGCATCTTAAATAACTTACATTGAAAGAAAGGTTTAATAAAGTAAACAAATAAATATTAAGCTTTTTTTTTTTTTTGTTGTTGTTGTTGTTGTTGTAAATTTTGATGCCCTTTAGATCATAATTGTTCTTTATTTCATAAAAATTTCTGCATGCCATATTACCTGATTTAAATTGATGATCTATAAACCGGAAAAACCCCTAATCCAGAATCGCTGAAGTCCCAATGAGTCTGGATTTTGGACTTTGTATTATCATGCTTGTTTTCTTTTACGGTAAATAATGTCAAATTGGAATGACTGTAAAGCCAAAGTGTAATGCAAAAGTCTTGTTACTGCCAAAACTGGCATGCTATTCTTTAAACCGAAAATTGCAGCGAGAGGTTTAAGGTCTGTAATTAATGCCAATTTTCTGCCTTTTAAGTAAAAAAAAAAAAAAATTTAGTTCCCCAAATGATTGACAAAGCTTCTTTAGCGGTTTTAGAATATTTTTTCTCAGTTTCAGTCAGTGTCCTAGAAACATATGCAATTGGCCTTTCTGTTCCATCAGGAAGTTTGTGAGAAAGTACTGCACCTAACCCTACTGGTGATGCATCAGTTGCCAATGTTAAGGGCAATTTTGGATCATAATGCATCAAAACTTTTTGTGAACACTATTTGTTTGTAATGCTTAGAAAAGCCTCCTGACAATCTTTCGTCCAGACACATTTTGAGTTTTTCTTAGTTAATTGGTATAAGGGATTTGCAATTGTCACTAATTTAGGGCAAAAATTGTCATAAAATTAACCAATCCCAAAAAACTGAATTTCCTGCTCACTTCTGGGTCTCGGGAAATTATTTGCAAATCCTCATCGCCCAGATGTTGTGTATCCTTAGTAGGTAATTATTTCACAAGAAACGGTATTAAACTGCATGCTACTTTATTACATACAAAAGATATCATCCTCTCTTACACATGTATCCTGTAACTCCCCTCATTCCGGTTTTAGTTCTGGTTTACAAGTACTTCGCGTGCTTGCGATGCGTGGCACTTTGCCATTATGATTAAGTTCTATAAAAGAAACAATAAAAGTCCAATTATGATTAAGTTCTCGATACACCACATAGCCATTATGTAAACAAATACCATAATGATCTCTTACTGTTTCATTGTGATCTTGTGAAGTGTGCCTTATTTCTGATTTCAATCTGCTTAAAAATCATTATATTTATTCTGATTATTCTATTTTTAGGGCGTATTTGATGTAGATAAAGAAAATGGATTAACTTTAGTTGAAATTGCTGATGGAATAACTGTGGAAGACATTATATCTACAACTGCTTGCCAGTTTGAGGTAAAAATAAAAATTTTTAATTATACTTATTAATTTTAAAATTAAAAATTAGAACACATGTATTGGATTTAGTTTGAATACACAAGACAGTAATTTCAGTCAGCTTCATCATGCAAAAATTTGCATAAAACTAATTATTTGGCTGATATTAAATTAAGAAGTAAGATATTAATTTTAAATTGTCTTTAAATGTATCTATAAATTTGAAAACTTGTTATATGAATATATATCTTATTTAATGAATAGAATTATTGTGATGTATGAATAATTTACCTATAAACGTTTAATTTTCAAGGAAGGATTTGTGGTAGTATGCTGGTGTAGTAAAATAATATAAATCCATTTTGATTTGGGAAAATTATATTTTTCAGATATCTCCTGGTTTAAAACCTATGGGACAAATTTAAAATAAAGAAAGAGATAACAGCCGCATGATGGAACTGATATCATAATCCAGTCTTTTTATAATATTCTGTACATTAAATGTGTGAAGAGGTGCATTTTTAATAATGCATATTTTTAGAATGTGTGTGATGCATGTAAATACCTTTGTTGCCATAAAATATATTTTTCTGTTCTGAAGTCAAAACCCAGTAATAAATGTGAATCTAAGTTTAAAAAAAAAGGTGCAAAAATGTTTTTTTGTATATTTTTATAATTCAGAGATGACCAGATGTGTATAACACGTTTTGTGTAAAATTGAAAAATATTAAATTATAATTTTATCTATATTTTTTATTGTCTGTGTACTGCATTTTTCTAGATTTCAGTTTTTAATGAGTTTATGAATTTATCAGTTTTCTATTTCAATGATAATTTTTCAAATCAAATCAAAAGGTGAAATTATTGCCATCATAAATGCATGCTTATTTATGTTAGAATAAAAAATCTTGTTTTTAGAAATTTTTATTATTCTTGGATTCTGAAATACATCAATACAGAACAAACTAGGAAAGTAAATTAAGGCCTTCTATTAAACGCTTCCCTTACAAATTTTTTTGAAAAAAATTGCAAAAAATCATCACATTTTTTATTTTATTATTAAATACAACAAAACAAAACAAATCAAAATATGTAGGTTTTAAGTTGAATTTTTAATTTTTTGAAGGTGTAAAAGCATTTATTTTTAATATTAGTTTACTATCCCGAGTTATCTCGGCAAACGAAAACGAAAAAAAGTTAATATTAATCTTTGTATGATAGTTTTTGAACAAGGGACAGCACAGAGTGGTACCTGACGTTCTACACTTGTATCTGGTCTCTTTTCTTACTGCCTTATCGCTGGAATCTCTTTCACGGGAGCACAGAGTACACTGTCTTGTTGGATTTGATTTTTTTTTTCCCCCAACCCATAATCACTATCTGAAAAATCATCGCTTTTGCTATCTTCCATCATCGCCATTATTTTATTTTTTTCCAACACATGCATCTTTCTTTATACATTACTCATCCACAAGCCAACATATACTATACAATAGAGAAACACGCGACCAGTCCATCCAAAAGAACCGTGCAACCAACAAAATTTGGCAAACTGCCAATCAAAGCTAAATATTTCCTTTCATTTCCTCCAGACCGAGTAAAACCGTGATAAAAGAAATCGTACTAACAAATTCTGCTTCGCCCGAGTTTTCTCGGGATAATAATTAACTGCAATATATACGAACCCAAGATAACTCGGGATAATCAGGGAAGCGGTTAAGACATACAGGCAACTGTAATTTTTTATTTAAGGTATTTTTAAAGCAAAAGTTAAATACGTGTTATTTATGATTGAATACTGAATGGGAAAAAAATCCAGTTTGTTTTACTAAAGCATGTAATTTTATGAAGCAGTTTTTTAAGCGAAAAATAATTATTCAAATAAACATTTTATACCTAAATTATTATATTTTGTGCTCAAATTATTGTTACTGTCATCTAACAAAATAAACTTTAGGAGGCTAGGGCATTTTATCTTGCTTAATAAAAACCTACAATTCAGATTTAATAGTTACTGAAATAAAAATTCATTTCTATTGTCTGTAAATAGCCTTGTATAATAAACAATGAATCTATATAGTTTAATGTCCTGTAAAAGATTCAATTAAAATTATAATCTTCATTACTTATAAACAGTTATATGAAAAAAATTGTACTGTGCTTATAAATAACAACACTAAAAGTTTACTTAAATATCATAAAATGAAAATTTTGTTACTCGTCAAATGTTCTTTGTTTACAAACAATTCGCAGTGACATATTATACTGATTTATTAGCATTTTTTATATTAAAATGCATTGATCTGCTGTAATGACAGTAGTGTTAAAAAAACTTTGAAGTATTTTTAGTTAAATTGTGCAAGAAACGTTCTTAGCCTGGTAGATTTTAAATAAAACTCTGATTTAGAGAACTGAAAAATGTTTCTGCTGTTTTTAAAGACTTGGTTTAAGACTTGGTTGTCAATTTGGTTTCAAAATCAATACAGTTTTATTTAAAACATTTGCCAAGATAAGCTTTTTAGTCCAAAGGGGCAATTTGCCCAGAAAAACTATTAATTTCGTTTTGGCATTTTGCATTGAAATGTCGGTTCACTTTTCAAATTGTTGCCACCAAATATTAAAGCCCTGTATTATATTTAAAGAAATTAATAATTAAATAATAAAGAATCTGCATAAATATTTGTATGTTTCTTGCATTGTGATAAAACAACAGTACCTAGAGCCATCAAATTTTGCATAACGTAATTCTCCACCGAATTTGGGCATCTAGGAGCCCTAATTTGGAGTTTGTTTTAATATCTATTTCATACAGTGGTGGCCGTTAAAACTGCAACACCAGGAAGGAATGAATGATCTGACAAACGTCAAAATCACATAAAAGGAAGAAGAGGTTGTTATATGCAAATGATTAGTATTTCAGCACATTTAGATGAGGCAGGAAGGAGAAATGGCATCTGAAGCACTGCATGAAAGAAAAGTTGTATAGTAGTTTTCTCCTTTGGAAAGCACTTTGTAAGATCGGAATTTGCTCAAAATATTGTTTTATATCTCGAATAATAATAAGAAGAAATGCTTACCAGCAACTGTCAGAATTCGATAGAGGCAGGATCGTTGCCTCTCGAGAATGTGGATTATCATTCCGTGATATAACCCATCGCACTGGTCGATTTCATACTATTGTCATGCGAATATGAAATGAATGGGTTACTGAGGGTCATACTGAACAGCATGCAGGATCTCAGTGCCCTCCCATGACTATTGCCTGAGAACATGCACATTAGTCAGACCATTAGTCAGGAAATGGGCATGTTTGCAGCTTGCCCAAGTATCCACTTGTACAGTGCATGGACCATCAGCACGGCGACCATTCCTTTGGCTTTCCTTGACAATACAGCATAGAGACGGCAACTCTGGTGCACCAAACAACAAAGCTGGATACTGAAGGGGCACAATGTTGTCTTTTCAGATGAGTCCTGATTCTGCATGCAGTATTTTGATGACTGTATACGTCTGAAGGCTCTGAGGGGACCGCATGTCGCCTGCTTGCATTCGATATCTGCATAGGGGCCCTACACCTAGTGTATTGATTTGGATAGCCGTTGGTTACACGACACACACATCTGTAATTCGAATCGATGATAATTTGAACGCAGATCAGTACATTTCTGACATCTTATGTCCAGTTGTGTGCCCAGCTTCGGGCCTGCAAATGCCACTTCCAACAAATATGAAAACCACATGTTCCTGCTCTTTTCTGATCTTCCTCCGATGCTGCTCCGCGTACACAGTCTCCAATCTGCCTCCTTGGGCATCCCGTGATGGGTCGAAGGACCGCCGCCACCCCTCTCCAGCTTATACGTAATGAAGTAGCGTAAATTTGAGCAGCATGGAATGTGTTGGCCCGTTCTGTCTCCAGCCCATTAACTCATACCTACCGATAAGTTTACGCATCAGGTGTGGCAGCTGTTTCTATTAATTTCGCATCCTGGTAAACCCCCAAACTGCTTATAAATTTAATCATTTTGTCTTCATGCCATACTGTTTACATATAATATCACTTTGTATTTACTTTCCTTCATGGTGCTGTAATTTTAATGGTCAGCATTGTATTATATCAGACATTAAAGAATTTTTTATTAACCAACTCAATGATTTCAAAGCGAGGAATTGCAACACTGTACAGGGGAGAAAAAATTTTTTTTTATCTCCACCATGCGAGACTGTGTATCGGAAATTCTAAAGATATGCTGATTTTAAAATTATCTTGCGATATTGCTGCTGAACTGAATTTTATGGTTTAACTGGGAAGAACATGATATTTAATAAATAAATGTAACACGCAAAATGTTAAAAAAAAAGGTTTCTTTGGGTGTAATTTAAAATCTAAAAGCTTTCGGTTTTTTGTTTTTGTTTTTTAATTTTACATTGATGCCCATCCCATTTTCCATTTCAATAATCTGAACGCTTAGAAATATCATTTATGTAATTGACAGATGTGTTGAGAAAAACATAATTGTGACAATAATTGAAATTTAATTTTAAAAAAATTCTTCATACAATTAATTTTAATTAGATAGCTCGGCAACACAAAATTGCATTCAGACCTGCTTGGTCTGTGAGCTAGCTATATGTCATGTTGACTATATGTTTAAATAATTCTAGATAAGTTGTCCTGTAGCCTAGATGTTTGCTGCTCTTGGCATCTTTCTAACCAAAACTAAGGCAGTCATTCCATTGAGCAGTTTTTAAATATGATTTTTCTTTTGAAATGAATTTTAACCTCTGTATTCTTTACCTTCATAAAATGACTATGTGATGACTATAGTCACACTATTTTATTTTTAAATTAGAGCATGTTTTCTCATCTTTATGAGCCATCTCCATTCTTTATGTAATAAGGAATTTTATTCTACAGTTTTAAATATGAGTCCCCCTTCCATTCTGTTATGTTGTATTTGAAGCATTATATTCTCCAGTTTCGTGAAATAATCAGAATGTCTGTATATTCTGTTTTAATCGTAAATTGGTCCTCAACAAAGAAAATAAAAAGTGAAATAATCTCTTAAAAGTTTAAAAACTTTTGACGATTATTTCCCTTTTAAAATTCTTTTTAAAGCAGAAAGTTTAGATAAAATTCTCTATCATCAAAATTTCTAAGTATTAGTTGTTCATACATTTTTTGTCCCTTTTAATCTTAAAAAGCTAAGTTGAAACTAAGAAAATGAAATTAACAGTTTTTAAATGTACACTAATCTGAGTAAAATAAGTTAAAATTACACAGAATGAAATAAGAAATATTAGGACTATTTTACTGAGAATTTCAGGCATAGTGTGATGCTACTTATCTGTCTTTATTGGCTATATTTTTCTCTGCAGTAATCTAAAACTTCTGCTGTGATTTTTGTAATCTGTCTTCCTTTCTTTCAAAAAATTGTGACTTCAGTAAATTTACATTTAACTAAGCTGTAGAAAATTTCGCTAGGTTTATCTCATAATGCTGAATATACTAATGATATTTGGTTTTGCAATCTTAATATGTGCCTTTTTAAATTTTAATTTTCAACTACTTGATCAGCTAATTAGTTTTCTTTGCAGTGATAATTTTGACTGATCAATAATAAACAGTTGATTTTAAATTGTGTACTATTAGATATTGAAATTAATAATTATGATCATGATGGGTACCTAGATGTTGACAATAAGTCAGAAATTTCTTATTTTGATTTTATTATTCATTTATTAATTTTAGAGGATTAAAAATTTCAATTCTCCATTTTCTAAATTGCATTTTTACAAGTAGTTCAAAATAACTATGTTCAAATATGTGTAGTTCAAATATGAATATAGAAATAACAGTCTTCATTTATAACAAATTCACTTCATATCCTTGTGACCGTACATTTGTTTTATTAAACTG